TGGGCACGGGATGGGCAACAGTGCCCAGAGCCTATAGAAACCGACCTCTGCGCCTGACCCAGATCTGCCCCCAGGTAGGCTTCTCTAGTGCTTGGGAAGGGCTCCCCCTGCTGGCTACTAGAAGCACCTCAGCCCAAATGCCAGGCCCTGCTGTGAACGAGTGTTATTCACTGGATTCCTTTGCCTTCCTGTAGCACTTCTCAACTTTCCAAACAGCGCCCACATTTATTACCTCCCTCAATTCACCTTTCAACACAAAGTGGTCACAGAAGGAGTTGATGCCTCTGAGTTACAAAAGAGAAAACTCAGGGGGCTTACAGAATTTGTCCAGGTCACCCATTGTCATCACCTATGAACAGGAAGTCGTGGGCAAGAAACTCCCAGAGCCCAGCTAAGGAAGGAGCTTTGTTGTCAGGGTCCCCCAGGACGTGAAGCCAGGAAGATCAAACTGTCAGAGAAGATGAGTCACAGTCCCAATGGGGTGAGAGAGCACATGAAGCTGCAGGGTGTCTCTGCCTCCCAGAAGCTTCCCTGACTCTACCCGCATGTATGCAGACAGAGGTGGGCACTTAACTCTGCAGATATTTTGAGCACAGGATAGTTCTCAAGAGACTAATGCGTGGGAGGCTCCTAGCACACTGAGGGTCGGTTGTGGGGGCCTGGAGTGCTCAGTATCCAAAGCATCACCTGCCCTCCGCCTGCTCCCCACTGATGGTTGTTATGTAAAGCCCAGTCGGGATCCACTGAGCCTGGTGACCCCCATTGGCACTTGTCTCTCCATGTAAACCTGCAACCTCTGGTTTGTTCCATTTGTGAAAGACTATCGGTTGAGGCCAGGCAAACTCCAGGAAGACAGGATTCTCTTTGCCTTGGAGTCTTAATACAACTGGAACTGTGTACCAAGGGATCAGAAACAGAGGGGTGGGGGTTGGGCTTGGAGTGGAGATGAGAAAACAGAACAGGGGCTGGTTGCATCTGCAGTCAACCAATCACCCTGCGCCTACCCCTGCCACCTTCCTCTTCTGACTCTTTCCTTCCAGGTTGGTCTATTTGATAAAAAGCAGAGACAGCGTGGCTCCTGACAAAGAAGCAGGGCTTTGTAGAATCTGCCTGTTCTCCAGCAGGTTCTCCAGGAAATCCTCCAGCCCCACTCAGCAGCCAGAGGAAGCTTTGCCAGATTCCTGGGTGCCATTTGTGCCCCATTTTCAGCACATGTGGGTGTACAGCTCACAGGATATACCAGAGATACATGAATTAGTGATTATTTGCTTTTCATAAATGGGATCCACACTTTACAAAAATCAGGATCCCCTCATGGAATTCTTTAACTGTTGAACTACCTTTGGTGTGTTGGAAATAATATGCTTGCCCATCCCACGTCATCAGTGCCATCAAGCATGGCAGCCACCTTCACAGAATGGTGCTTTTGTGCTACATGTACAGGGGTGGGGGTAGGAAGGCAAGGAAGGGTTTTTGTGGTAGCCCAGGAGGCTATCTTTGATGCTGCAGGCCCAGGGGAACTATAGGAAGCATTGAGCTTACAGGCACAGGCCTTTCCGTAAAGGTCACCCACCCAGGGATCCAGGCTGTAGCTGATTCCAGGTGATCAAATCCTCCCATTCTTATAGTTAGGAAAT